CCACCTCTTAAGCTATGGCATCTGGCATAGGCTCCAACTATCCTTTGTGGCCCCTTATTCAGTCTATGAAAGTCAGTCTGCGCTTTGGCACCCCCCCCCCCCCCCCCCCCAAAAAAAAAAACAAAAACAAAACAAAAACAAAAACAAAAATCATTTCAATTAAAACAGAAAGTCTGCACTTCAATCGCGTATTCATAGAGTTAAAGTCCACTGTTGTGTCTTTGTCCATTAATTATGATTCTAACTGTGAAAGCCCCCTACAGTGTGAGTCTATAGCGGCAAATCTGAAGAATGAGTCAGAGTCATCGAATCCAGTTTTATCAAAAAGGAAAGTTTTAAGTCTAATCTTTGAAAATAGAAATGCGTGTCTCTAGCAATCAAACTGGGATCTGGGTCCACAGAAAAAGGGCTCTGAGAGGTGAAGGCGCTGCCTCCCATTCTTCTTTTGGATTCTAAGAACTGCGAATAAGCCTCTTAGGGTAGTGTAATACACGTTTTAACACAGCCCTTGATCATTCAAAACTTTGTGAGGGGTAAGATTTTCAAATCAGATCTGGATTTAACAGGGAAAAAGTAAAGAGAAGGTAATATCTGCGAAATATGGTGTTGCTTTCTAGTCCCTGTCAGTATTTTCACTGCAGCATTTTGGATCAACTGAAGCCCTTCTGGGGAGCTTTGAGAACAGCCTGACACTGTTTTCCAGCATCACTCTGATACAGGATGTTTTTACTTTTAGCAGTATTGCACAGATGAAATCATGCCTCAGTCTGTGCTTTGAGGGTTCTGGCAGTCAGTACAGCACATGGGTGCTGATTTATTTACATGAATATATTCTTCCATCTGCAACTAAGTTTCTGTAAGACAAAATAAACCAACATGTTGATCAGCTGTTTAATCACTCATTAACTAAAGTTTTGTCATGTAGTTTAGTAAGTTAATTGTTCTGAAAAGGTGTTACAGCTTTTCTTCGTGAATTTTTTATGGTTTACTCCTTTTGTTTAGATCTTTATGTAAGGTGGCCTGGAAGCAGACACAGGTTTTATGGGGTAAAGGTTTTGGTGTGACAAGAGGAGGAGAAAACTGCAGAGAGACGTGTAAGACTGCATCTCAGCGCCAGATAGTCATGTTTATAGAGGTTTAATCAAGCCATATTTATGAAACACTGGCACAAGTTCAATAAGGAACACTCTTAAAACTGTAGAGATGACAGTGGACTTCAGGAGAAGTCCCCCCCTCACCATATCAGACAGCCCTGTGTCGACTGTGAAGATCTTCAAGTTCCTGGGTATCACCATCTCCCAGGACCTGAAGTGGGAGACCAACATCTCCTCCATCCTCAAAAAGACCCAGCAGAGGATGTGCTTCCTGAGACAACTGAGGAAGTACAGTCTTCCACAGGAGCTGCTAATCCAGTTCTACACTGCAGTCATTGAGTCTGTCCTGTGCTCCTCCATCACAGTCTGGTATGGTAGACTGCAGCGGACTGTACGGGCAGCAGAAAGGATCATCGGCGCCCCCCTGCCCTCCATCCACGATCTGTACCTCTCAAGAACCAGGAAACGGGGAGGGAAAATCATCACAGACCCCTCACACACTGGATACAGACTTTTTGATCTGCTGCCCTCTGGCAGACAGTACAGAAGCCTGCAGCCACCTTATTCATTTCTGTATTTTATGTATATAAGTTTAGATTAGTTATTTATAGTTGGTTTACACAGCTTTGTGTATGTATGTGTATGCATATACAGACACGTGTGTGTGTGTGTGTGTGTGTGTGTGTGTGTGTGTGTGTGTGTGTGTGTGTGTGTGTGTGTGTGTGTGTGTTTTTTACATTGAGAGCCACCATCTACCAGAACCAAATTCCTTGTATGTGTCTGCACATATACTTGGCCAATAAACACGATTCTGATTCTGATTCTATATTCACTAATCTGTCTGCTTTCCCAGGTGTTTAGCTGCTAGTCTATTCATTACATGACTAACACATTCCCATGCTGTAAAACTCAATGGTGACATCATTGCTTCTTCCTGCCCGCAAGTCACTTCATCGAAGCCTCCAGCATCTAGACTCTGGAGAGTCCTGCCCTAATTTTTGTCACCGTTGAGATTTCATTCTGCTGTGGGCCATCAGAGTCTAATCGGCAAATAGCATCATTTAATTCTGTAGATCAATAAATCATTTTCAATTCCTTCTAATGATTTCTCTCTATTGAATTAGATTTGCTTGACCACCTAAAATTGGATGAATACCATCTCCAGAAAGACTGGAGAAGTATAAAGTTTGCACTGTTTTAAGCAGTTGAGGGATGACATGTGGCTATAAATGCAATCACTGTTCAGATCAGGGGTCAGATTGCTTGAAACGTGTAATGTATCAACACAGCTTTGTTTATGGAGGGAGTGGTGTTAAAAATATCTAAATCTAAAGTCTTTGAGTCATCTTTATCTACACAAGATGTTCTCTGTGCTCACTGCATAATCCATTTGTGCTTTAAAAAGTGCAGAGTTATGAATTACTCTTTCTTTAATTAATTCAACAAAAATGGGCATCCTCAATGGGATCCAAGTAAAAAATGTTCACTATGTTGCCAAAAGTATTCCCTTGTCTGTCTTTACACTTATGAACTTGAGCGATATCCTATTCGTAATCTATGGGGTGCAATAAAACATCAGCCCACCTTTTGAAGCTATAACCGCTTCAGCTCTTCTGGGAAGGCTTTCCACAAGGTTTGGGAGTGTTTATGGGAATTTCTGACCATTCTTCCAAAAGTACATTTGTGAGATCAGACATTGATGTTGGATGAAAAGGCTTGGCTTGCAGTCTCCCCTCTAATTTATCCCGAAGGTGTGCTGTCGGGATGAGGTCAGCACTGTTGTTGAAGACCGGCCCACACAAACTCCCTCATCTCTCTATGGACCTTGCTTTGTGCACTGGTGTGCAGTCATGTTGGAACAGGAAAGGGCCATACCAAAAACCGTCTCCACAAAGTTGGGAGCTGAAATTGTTCAAAATGTCTTGGTATGCTGAAGAACTAAGAGTTTCATCCACTGGAAATGAATGCCCGAGTCCAGCTCCTAAGAAACAACTCCACAACGAATTCACCCCTCTACCACACTTCAACTTGGCACAATGAAGTCAGACAAGCACTGTTCTCCTGGCAATCTCTGCAATCATCCTGCTCTGTGAGGGTCAGCAGATGGCCTACCACATCGTCGTTACAATGCTGTTGTTCCCAATCGCTTCCAGTTTGTTATAATGCCACTAACAATTGACTGTGGAAATTTCACAACTAGGCACAGGTGGCATCCTATCACAGAGGTCCTGAGAGAGACCCGTTCTCTCACAAATGGTTGTATAACGGAAATTGAAAAAGATGAAAAAAATGGACAGGAAGATTTCTGAACAGAAATTTCAGGTTCAATAATCAGATAGTAGAGTCACAACTGAGCATAAACAACATGAAAGCACAGATCCATCCTGCCTTGTATCAATAGTTCAGACAGGCTGTGGTGGTGTAACTATGTGGCGTATTTTCTTGCCACACTCTGAGCCCCTTAGAACTCTCTGAGCATCACTTCACATCTGATTTCTTCAACATGACAATGAGTTCATTGTACTCAAAGGGCCTCCACAGTCACCAGATCTCAGTCCAACAGAGTACCTTTGAAAGCAGGTGGAACAGGAGACTTTTATCATGGGTGTGCTGCCATCAAATCTGCAGCTAGCATGTCAATATTTACCCAACTCTTCAAGCACTTTGATGGATTGGAGCGATGAATTACAGCAGCACTGAAGGCAAAAGAAGCCCTACTTGTTACAGTGTACCTAATAAAGTGGCCAGTATGTGTATGTCAGTGTAACATTACTCTACAAAGGAAAAACATACTTTTTGAAACAAAAATTACAATAAAATAAAATAAAAAATTGATGATATGATATATTATCATATCAGACTGTCGGTGATGTCAGTGATTAACAGTCAGTGTTTTAGTATTTACCATAAAGTCCTTGCTTCACTAATGACAACCACATGGGGGCAGTATTACACTAGATTTAATCAAAAATACTGTCAGGAGAAAATCACAACACCAAAATACATGATGGACATTTTTAAAGCTACTAAAGGTATAACTTTCATAATAAAATGATACATGACGCATGATAGCATCTGTTAGATCCGATGCTATGAATTATGAGTTAAAACTGCTGCAAGAGAAATGAGTGTAACTCATGTAAAGAGCCCTAACTTGAAAAGAACACAAAGTCATCGAGTCTTTTTTTAAAAAATTATGTTCCTAATACGTGATGTTTCTGCTGCTGATCTATCTGAATTAAACTTGTGTGATGTACAGCAAATATCATCCTTTCACTTTTGCAATTTGAATGTGGTAGAAAGTCTGTGCCAAAAACCATTTTGGCTCCAAAGCCCCTTCAATAACAGAAATAAAAACACAACATGAAATTCTTTAATTTATTTTTAAATTGACATGTTTTGTCTTTTAAATGAACTGTGTAATCTGCGTGATTTCAAATCCATGTCTTCACATCCATGTGTCTGCACTTGGATCTGTGTGTCTGTGATGAGATTTGGAAATGTGTTAACAAATCTGTTAACATCGATTTCTTAAAAGTGTAGAGGAACGTGGATGTGTTTAATTCAGACGTATTTAAGCATCTCTAAACAATCTGATTAAATCACTCTGTCATTTACCGTAATCTGTAAAATAAGATGACAATTCAGTTACTTTTTCCTTTTTAAGTAGATCTGAGGCACTTAACTGTGGGAGTTAGTAATCGCTTTTTCAGTTTCTCATCCATGAATTTGCTAATAACTACCTCTTCTTTTACAGTACTTCATTAATAGTTTTTATACAGTGTCCCAATTGAGAACCAAAACAAAATAGAGGCCCAGGAGGATGCAATCAAACAGATGATTATTGAACACACGCGTGGGAAGATGAACACTGCAAAACATCAGATGTAGATCTCCGCCCAAAAATATACTTCAGATTGCTTTTATAACGTCAGGGTTGGTTAACGCCCCTTCTCGCGTTGTACAAGAACATACTTTGTATTTTAAGAACATCATTTGCATGTTTTATAGACAATGAGCAATCTTAAGAGATAAATGCAGACACTGAAGTTCCCCTCTCTAGCATCTTCTCCAAATATGGCGATGGATTCAGGCTCTGATGTTGATGTCCTCCTTTTTGGCCCATCTTTTGTCACCTGTTACTAAGCAAACTCAGATGCAACAAGAAGCCGGATACATTCAGGCCTTCACTCAAGCCTGTTTCTAGATTATATGTATTATATGTGTTTTGTGAGCGTGTACGCAGTTTTAACCTTCTGTTGCTCCAAGTCACTTTTACAATAGATTGTCTGGACATTGCACCAAACAAAGCTTGAGACCTTCGATTGACTGAGCAGAATACACTTCTTAATAAGCACAAGATGCAATGTGTATAAAATGGTCTTAGCTGTACCTGTAGTAAAAAGGTTAATGTAATGGCAACAGCTTCAATAAATGTTTTACTGAAATGATGATTGATTTGATTAATGCAATGGTAATAATGATGAATATGAGTAGCAGTAAAATATTTCCTTATTCCACAACAGTATCTAAATTTCTTCTCAGACACATTATATACTCCTCTAGCTTTATTGAAACACTTTGACGTTCCTTGTTGTTCTGTCTGAAATAAAACAAGTTTAAAAGATATAAACTGTTTTAACTGTGGAAACACAATCTTCGTTTTTGTGGACAAATTGTCGCTCGGTGGAGTCACTGCCTTCATGAACGAGTTTGTTCCTGTCTTTCACTTTTGTCACTGAGCTGAGCAGCAGTCTCAAACCACAGCTTCTCCACCTGCTCCTTTCCTAACTCCCAGAGCTGCTGGAGAATGTTAACACCCTTTCTGGATGAAATCATCAGATACTCTTCATTTTCTGGCTGCAAGGTCAGAGAGTAACGACCTAAAACTAAGGACTGGCAAAAGCGGGACAGCACCAGCAAATATAGACAATCTTTCTCCACCTCATTGAGAGGAAGGACGCTTTCCCAGCCAGCAAGGACGGGTCCACCCACCTCGATGGGTTTAGGGTGCTCAATCATCATGTACATGACGGTGATTGCAAGCTCATGGATGTAGTAGCCACTATTCATGTCGCCAAAGTCCAGAATACCGGTGATCCTATAGCCTTCTTTATCATTAGGCTGTACCAGGACATTGAGGTCATTGAAGTCGCCATGGTTAACGCCTTTAAAAAAGACATTTGAAAAGTGTATTTGTAAAATCAAACTACTACATACAATCAGCCAATGAGAAGCCAAGACAAGGTAATCAAGAAGTACAGTGCAAACTGTATGAGCAGCTCTCTGATAAACAGTTACTGGTCTTTAACCTTCACAGCTATGCTTTTATGACAATAAATATATTTTATGTTAAGTCATAAGCATGTAACTGATACATGTAACAAGATAATATTGTATACTCACATTTGCGAAAACTAGAGCGTTTGGGATCCACAGAGCTCTTGTACCCTTGGATTACAGACTTCACAACCTCCAGCAGAGGCTCTCCGTCTAACACGTAGAGGTAATCTTCCAGGAGAGCAACATTTGACAGACTCCATTTGAACCCCTCTCTCTCCAGCACGTGAAGATGAGGGTGTTTCATCTTAAATTACACCAAAAATGCAAGACATGTGTAAATGAAAAATAGCTGATAGACACATGTATTCTGGGCAGTTTCACGAAATTCTCTCCCGAAGATTCACTGAAATTCTAACACAGAGTGGACGCCTTTAGAAGAGATTTCACAGGACTGTTACTATGATACCTTTTTAATGACTGTGTCTATTTTAGCTGCAGTTTTCCCCATTTCATACAGCAGCTGTGGAGTTAAAGGAACCTTGGAGATGGTTGTCCCAGGCAAATAGGTCAACAGTCTCACCAGGTACTTCTGACTGCCAAAACCACAATCTGCCAAAAGTAAGGATATGAATAATTATAGGCTTCAATAAACTTGAACATATATGGCAGAGCCCTGTTCAAGGGCACAGGCGTAACAATATTGCTAATTATGCAAACTTCCTTGTGTAAGATTGCCCTTTAGCCCTAAGCCAGGATGTGTTATTCTACTCCTGCAGATGCCAAGTTTGCCTGTGCCTTATCTTTACAGATTATCTGCAAAAGCAAAGGTCGAGTTCATTTATACTATGTCACAGAAACACAGTACTTATAAGCATGTGCAGTGTGCCAACATACTTAAGTAATGATGGAAAGTCTTTGGACACTGGTTCACTCATTTTCTGTCAATTTCAGGATTTTGTTTAGGGTCTAGGACCCACAATATCTGATCAGCCGTTATTGGCTGCATTTTGTGTTTCTTTGGTTATCTTTATCCAATAAAAAATGTATTTGGTGATCTGGAACATTTAAATATAAAAAAAATGATAAGAAATCTGGAAGGAGACAAAGATGTTCACAGCACTGTAACATAAAGAAGTCTCCAGTAAGCACACAAAGTCTTTTGGAGGCTTCGTAGTCCTAGGTTTAAATAACACTCTGACATGTTATCTTTAGATGTTACTGAAAAACAAACAATTTCTAATTATAATCACTTGTGATTCAACAGTGAATGTTTACAGGGAAATTGCTACGAAGCATTTTGACATCAGTCAGGATCAATTTGAGCCTGACTGACTGAACACCGAGTGCCAGGCTGCGGTCACACAAGCTTCATCGTGCATGGATGAAATTTTATGTCATGTCAGGTAACGATATTTTTTCAGATCTGAACAACGTGGCTGGTCACATACCAATTTCCTCCAGACTCATTCGCTCTCCTGAGGTGTTGGGCAGCGCGGTTTGAGCAGGAATTCCATTCTGTTGTAGGAAGGACATGGTGTATGTCTGCACCTCAATCAGCAAGGTATTCTTGCTGTCCTCTGAGTTCATTATCTTTAGGATATACTCGCCACCCTCACTGGGCGCCACATAGAAGTTCTGGTCATCATAACTGGGCAGAGACTGAATCACTGATGCAGTCAGCCGGTAGAGCCTCTTCACAATCTCAGATACCTGGGAATGGCTTAAGTTGGGCTTGGCATTTTTTGGTGGCATTATTGCTGAAGGAAAACAACAAGCCATTAGAGAAGAGTTGCACTAATTTATAAAATCAACAAATATTATAACATCTTCACAAATTACAACAAATGCAACTGCAAAAAAAGTTAGAGTGAGAGAAACATTTCCTCTACCTGACTACCTGTTTTCATCTGCCTTTTACAGTGTTACAGTATTAATCAGGCACAATTCAATCATTGCCATGCTAGAACTGGTGAATCAGATCTTTTATGTGTTTTGTAACAATGATGTGAACTTCAGTCTTCATTATTAATGTTTACAGTTGAGCCGCACACATTTCTAGTCCTCAATAATAATAAAGGTGTTAAAAAAAGAGCAGAAAATTGCAATACACAACACAGAGATCAGTCCACACAACATGAGGAAAAAGCACAAAAGCCTTTACATCTTTTTTAGACACATACAACCACACAGTACTCACTTTAACAGACCTGAACCTCGCAAAGAAGCAAGAAAACTAAATACAGTAATGCCTTTTCATTAATAAATAAAATCATCATTTAAGAACTGCATTTTGTATTTACTCTTTAGCTAACGTGAAAATGATATAAAGATGTAAAACATGTAAATCTAGCAAATATGCAAATAAAATGAGAAGAGTAAGACATTTTATTGCAGCAGTGCTGTAGCAGATATTTTCCCTAACAAACTGAAAGACAGCTTAAGTTCTTCTCTGAAGATGCCTCTTTGAAAATGGCTCCACAGAAAACAGTTCAGAAAATGCTTGATCATGCCCCTGACTTGTATGAGCAAACTAATAACAGTAGAAAGCTAAAACATTTTCAATTACTATGTAGATTTCCTATTAATAAATGTGTTATTACTGGAATTGCTGGCTCATCATCACTGGGAACTCAGTAATGGTCTTAAATTTAGTCAGTTTCCATGGAATGGACCCAAATGCTTCTTCTTTCTCAGGACATATTAATGCAGCAAAGTGCAAATGCAAATAAATACTTTGAACAAATTCTTAGAAGTCCATGTAATCCTTGTTAAAAACTCTATTATTAATGTGAGTTGACTTGTTTCAGTGCTAGCAAAATCACATCTGTCATAAATATCTGTCCCAAATTAATTACCGTGAAGCTGCATTCACAGCAGTATCTAGTGGGAATGGCATTTGATTGGGATTCCCCCCCCCCAAAAAAAAACAAAAAAACTCAATTTCAGCCACTGACAAACTGCATAATGTATGCTTCTTTACATTTAAATCCTAATTTCCAATTGAGAACTGACAGGAACCATACGATACCCAGGCCTGCCTTAGACCGTTCATCAGGAAGCACAGGAGAGTTTTTCCCAAATCAGAGAGCTGAGGAAGGTCTGGCAGGTAAAGTCAGCGTTCACAGTCACATAGTTCTCCTTAAACAGCTCAGAGCAGAACTTCACCACCTCCTCACATCTATCCTTCACATTTGGATTTATTCTCCTGCTGGCACTGATAAAGGACCCTTTAGCTGTCTCCCCCACTCAGTCATTTAGCTCCAACATCTGCTGTCTCTTCTCAGCAACCCTCACCCCATCCCTTATTTTTCTACCTCCAAGTCACTGTTCACTTTTTCTCAATTCTTTCAGCACATCCCACCAAACTCTCAAGAACTCAAAACCCTGGCTGTTCTGATTCTGAGGCAGCCAAAAGTCTCTGAGGTTAGAACAGAAAGTAGATTCCTGATCTGTTTGAGTTGTTTCTGACGACTCAAACAGATCCACAGAATCTCTGAGAATCTCTGCCTTCATTAATCTGTTATTGTGAACAGCAGTAATGAATAACCCATTGAACCTGTCCTTCTATCACCTGCAGGCTTAAAAGAACAGATTTGCTAAGATGTTTGAAGATTATCTTAAGCAGTACTGTGCAAAGTCAAATCTTGCACTACAGGTAGTAATAGAACGGACTAAACTGGGCTAACTTAAGTTGTGTAATGGCAAAGCAGCTTGATAATTTAAAAGTATTTCAAGAGTGTGTATCTCTGGCACAAAACATTGAAACAAATGGTGTGTTTTGTAATAAGCTGCTAGCAGTAAAGTATCTAAAGATACAATTTGAGATGGGTTATTTTCTACCTGCACCATGTCAAACTTTCAGTGTGAAGAGGAGGAGACCTAAATGCATCCATGAGACCATCTATATTACCCAACAGTGTTGCAGAACCTGGGTGTGAGTCAATGGTCCTGCTCAAGCCCTACAAATATTTTATTGTAAAAACTTGTTAAATCAACAAATATTGTATTCACACCATAAATACAAAGAACTGCAAAGTAAAGCTAAGCTGAAGGGAGACTTCATAATGCAAACATAATGTGACAGTTTTGCTTGATCCCCGAAGGACAAACACAGCTGTGATGAATCCAGCTGTGTTTGATTTTTTTAGCTACACCTCATATCATAATATTTTACTTCCAGGTAGCCACACTCTCTTGCAATTTGGGAAAATGGCTGCTTTTCACTTGTTTTCAGAATTTAGCAAACTCACAATTTAAGATTGGTTCTTTTCTATCTTTAGATACTTTACTGCTGGCAGCCTATTACAAAACACATCATTTGTTCCAATTTCTTCCTGCCAGAGATACGTACTCTTGAAATTATCAAGCTGCTTTGCCATTACACAACTTAAATTAGCCCAGTTTAATCAGTGCTATTACTACCTGTAGAGCAAGATTTGACTTTGCACAGTACTGCTTTTTTAATCTTCAAACATCTAAGCAAATCTGTTCTTTTAAGGTCGTGCAAATCTAGATCCCAGAGCTGCTGTCAGCACAAACTCTGCTGGACTAAAGTTCTGGTAAGTGTATTTTTTTTTTTCAAAAGATGTAAATTGTTGTACTCTGAAACGGAATTTAAATTTTTATTTTCATTTCAATGAATGAAATGATAATGCAACATTGCTTATGAAGTTACTGCTACTGGGTAAGGCTGTTTTTGTGGGGTTTTTTACTGCAAAGTAAGATACTCTTCAGTATCCTGTAGAGATGGCACGATACCACTTTTTTATGTCCGATACCGATACCGATATCATAAATTTGGATATCTGCCGATACCGATATGAATCCGATATAGTGTTTTTTAATCAACAAAACTGTTTTTTAAAATATCTTGCTGCATTTTGCAAGTCTGCAAGTTCATACTCAAGTTTAAAACAACAACTACACTAAAGCTATTCTGTTATACCTGTATACAAAAAAAATATTTCATAGTTCAGCAATACTGATCAATCTAATAAACTTAGACCTACACCATCCTCCCTATTCTGGTATTTTAAAGAGTACTTAGCGTAAATATTAAGCAACCTAACTAATAGGGTTCCAACTCCCAGCAACAACAAAAATAAATAAATAAAAAATAGGGAACCACCCCTCACGCTCCACCTCATGATGCTTAATCAACGTAATCAACCTTAATTTGATGCAGTGTGAAAAAAAATGCACAGAAATCAATTATTTTTCAAGAAATATTAAATAGATTCAACATCTTTCTTCAACAAAATTGCAGACTGCACAGATGGTACCTTCCCAAAGGAAAATGTACTATAGCTTACTAGGGTATATATATTAGACTTAATAGTCACTATATACAGTAATTGACTTCTATTCATTTTACATCAAATTAAAACTTTGGGTGTCAGATAATTATTTATTAAAAGCTCGACATTTTAAATGAGAATAAGAAAGAAAAGTATGTCTTTGTGCCCCCTTTTCCCAGTTAATGCCCTATCGGCCCCCCTGGCTAAACTTTGCTAGATCCGTCCCTGCACAGTTACCAGCCGTCAGCTACGTAGAAAAAGATCCTGGTGTAGAAAGTAATAATAAATAAATTCTAACAACAGCTTATCAAGCTTAAACGTGCTGCTGTTGTTCAGCCGCTGGTTTCCTCTTTCTGGCGCAAAGTGGGCCAAAAACAAACAAGAGAGACTCACGACAGAAAAGCCGATCAGCTGATCATTAGCAGTTTCACGATTGAAGTAGCAGCCGGAGAGCGAGAGGCAGTCGCTCGTTAAGCTTAACGTGGGAATGCTTTACAAACATTCAGAGATGGACTTACACACTTGCTTTACTTCTCTCGGGGATAACTTTGTCGGAGATGAAATGCCGGGTTGCTAGCGAAACTCCACATGCTATCCAGACCACCGACAGGTCCCGCATGCCACAGCCGCTCTATCACGTGATGCATACTGCTCCGACGTTCTGAGGCGAGTTACGGCGTGTTGCAAGTTTTGTGAGGTGCTTTCGTGATATTTAATGGATCGGATTAAATTTTTTATTTTTCTCCGATATCCGATCCAGTAATTTAGGTCAGTATCGGACCGATACCGATACGTAATATCGGATCGGTCCATCTCTAGTATCCTGTGTTAAGGTTATCAGGTTCATTAATCTGGCTTTAGATTAATGAAGGTTAGATCTAGTAGTAAATTAACTCTGGTCTGTCTATCTCTGGTACACCACATACTGACATACCAGAGATGGGCAAACACGAGTCTAACAGACTACTTTCCAAACACATTTCCAAATCTGTCATGATAGCCTACTGAAAGGTGACTTGTAACTGACGATTTGTCTGTATATTCAGTGCTTCTTGCAGAACATTGTAAATGTATTTACATAAGATAAGATAGAACTTTAAGAACTTTAAGACATGTTTACAAATGTCATTATAGGCATTCTGAATAAACATCTACAGATTCCTGTACACATGTATAAGTTTGACACAGTTTTACAGATCTGTAAATGTGTAAAAAAATAATAATAATAAAAGTGCAAACACATACACACAAACATACAGATTTTGATACGCACACACAAATCTCTACGCAGACTGAACGACAGAAAAAAATCAACATAACTACAGCAGTAATGGTTAATTGAATAAAATCATTTTACCGTAGTTTAATCCACAATTCTAATATCACTATGCAAACATGAGGGTTTCTCTCACATTTGCAACTAAAAATAGTATCTATGAGCACGTGTGTGAGTAAAAAAT